TGATCTTACAGTACATTACTTCTTCTCTCTAGAAGTTTGTCAGTTTCAGATATATGTATTTTTTCCTAATGGATATATTAGTCTATTATTAGACTTTATTCTAGCTTAGAGACTGGAACATCCATATTTATCATGGGAATAGTAAATTCCAATGAATAGTAAAATGTTTACTATTCTGAGCTCTGTGGGATTTATATTGTAATTATGTGGATGATTATAACTCAGAGAAACAATCTGACTATTTCAGCATCCTAAATAGCAAAAAGAGATCCATATTTGGCTTTTTGTTTCTCTCTGTTCCCACTGTTCTTATCAGTAGTTACACCAGGGGTGGGTTTCGACCGGTTCGCACCGGTCCCTGCGATCCGGTTGGTCGCCGAACCCGGAAGTAAGTAACTTCCGGGAACGGCGACGCCCCCCCCGCACCCGCTCCTTACCCGGTTTTTACGAATTCTGCGCTTTCCACGCATTCGCAGAACGCATACAGTGCCTGCGCGATCCTCCAGGAGCAGCTGGAGCATCGCGCAGACGCTAGTACGCACGCGCCATGTGCGTGCGCGAGGATGCCGCCGGCCTCGTTCCAACCGATCCGGTTGGAACGGGGCGAGAAACCCATCCCTGCCCCAATGGCAATAGCACTTAGAGACTTATATACCACTTTACACTGCTTTACAGCCCTCTCTAAGTGGTTTACAGAATCAGCATATTGCTCAAAAAAGAGGCTGAAAATTTGGCTGCATCTTATACACTGAATAAAGCATTTTTTTGCCTCTCAAAAACCCACCCCTTCACCAAAATGGCTGTGCAGAGCTTTTAGGAGGCTTATAGAGTGCTCCTGGGGGCTGAGGAGGGCAGAAATGAGCAAAAATGGGCCATTTTTGCTCAATTTTGCCCCCATAGCCCCCCAGGAGCACTCTATAAGCCTCCTAATGGCTATGCATGCCCTTTTTTGACAAAGGAATGGGCCAGTTTTTTAAAAAACTGGGCCTGTTTTTTGCTCATTTTTTGAGCATTTTTTTGTCTCTCGAAACCCCGCCCCTTTACCAAAACGGCTGTGTTAGAGCCTTTAGGAGCCTTATAGAGTGCTCCTGGGGGCTGGGGAGGGCAGAAATGAGCAAAAAATGGCCTGTTTTTTGCTCATTTTTTTCACCCCCCCCCGGAGAACTCTACAAGCTTCCTAAAGGCAATTCATGCCCCTTTTTTGGAAAAAACAGGCCCTTGTCCGTGAAAAATGGGCTGTTTTTCGGAGGTCTGTAAAACCTTTTTGTTTTAATTTACCTCTTCAAAATCTTGGTGCGTCTTACACTCCAAAAAATACACGTATATAGTATTGTCCTTTACTGATTTGGGAGAATGCAGAAACAGTGCAATAGAGGAATGACAGGCCCACTCCCTCCCATACTTCACATACAAAGGATAGAGGAATTAATTGGCATTTATTACAAATATAAAGAAAGAAAAGGCAGGAAAGAGAAATTCTAAAGAAAAACCCTGCTTGTGATTCAGTTTCCTTCATGACTCCAATTTCTTTGTTTTTAACTTTATTCGGCTTGGGTTCCAACAGAACTGAATGCTGTTCAGATCATAGCAATGACTGACAGGGCACTGCAGCCAGATCCACTCAGTTTGTTTGCTGCACTGTGATCGACCAATTCTTTTCCTGTCAGCGAATGACACAGTGAAGAAGAGGGCAGGAACTGTTTTGTCTCTTACATGGTGCACCAGCATAATCAGGGCAGCACCATTTGGCAGGGAGTCAGAACACACCCAGTGGCAATCGACAAATTCATAGCTTTCTGTTAAGTCAAGGACGGGCTCTAGCACTTTAACTCAGCAGTGGTAAAAGACCCTAGATATATCTCTGGCTAAATTGGAACCCACAATTGGGTGTTTTAGGCATTTCTTTGGGAGATTGAGAACCCAACACTGATTTTGGTAGTACAGATAGTCCTTGACTTAGAACAGTTTATTTAGCGACTCTTCAAAGTTATGTCACTGAAGAAAGTGACTTGTGATTGCTTTTCACACATGAGCATTGCAACATCCCCAAGGGCATGTGATCAAAATTTGGATGCTTGACAACTGCTTCATATTTATGATGGTTGCAGTATCATGGGATCATGGGCATCTTTCTGGCCAGCGAAGCCAACGAGGAAGCCAGATTCACTTCAAACAATACCTTAACAGCTGAAGTTATTTACTTAACAACAGTGGCAAGAAAGGTAGTAAAATGGGGCAAAATTCATTTAACAACTGTCTCAATCAGCAACAGAAATTTGGGGCTCCATTGTGGTCGTAAGTCGAGGGCTACCTCTTTACGTGACTTCCTTTTGTTGGGTTTACCATCAATCAAGGGACTCATGGTGAGAATTCTGTGACCTGGTACTGTGTGTTTAACATTTGTAGCAAACATTACTTGATAGCTTTGTTCTTCACCTTTTCCTGTACCAGGAAAGGGAAGTTGCTACCTGTAAATGCAGTGCAGTTGTGAAGTATGCTACAGTTCAATATTAATAAAGCCCTCCAGCATTTAATAACATTGGATTACCAAACAATTCAGAGTGCAACCGATTTGCCTGATGTTAAACAAATACAAGGGCTCCTGTTCCCTTGAGAGCTGCTCCGATTAGACATGTTGTTTATAATATGCTTGTTTGCTGATTGGGAGGTCAAGCATGTTTGACATTCCCAGCACTCTCTTTGCTGGGATCTCTACTTTGTCTTGGACTTTCTCTCTCTCTCTTTCTTTATACCCAGAAACTGTGTCTCCCTTTTTAAATCAAATGTTTACAGTTCGGAAGTTGCTTAGATAATTTTAACCATCTGCCGTACCTCAAAGAAGGGAAGGCTTTAATTATTTGAGTTTTTAAAAAGTGACCTTTTCAAAAACC